ATATTTTGAAGAATGTTGGTAACCAAACAGTTTATGGTTTACAGTAGCCACAGTATGCAAAAATACAATGGCTACCATCAACTGTTTGGTTACCTACACTCTTCAAAATATATTTTTCTGTGCTCAAACACTCATACAGGTTTGGAACAACTTGATGTAAGGAAATGATGACAATTTAAATTTTTTGGCCAAATGAAGCCTTTAAGTTTTCTGTAACATTATGTTCACATATGCAAACGTTGCATTATCTAATTAAATATGCACTCATTTGCATATATTTCCAGAATAATAAACTGAACATTGCATAAAGCCTGGTCCAATTTTTTTTTTACATATTAGAGTTAAAGGCTTTTACTGAGGGGATCTCTCTTTTAATCGCTCCATAAATCACAAAATACCGCCAGAAAAAAACCACCATATTTAGAGGTTACAGTGGGTACGGAAAGTATTCAGACCCCCTTAAATTTTTCACTTTTTGTTATATTGCAGCCATTTGCTAAAATCATTTAAGTTAATTTTTTTTCCTCATTAATGTACACATAGCACCCCATATTGACAGAAAAACACAGAATTGTTGACATTTTTGCAGATTTATTAAAAAAGAAAAACTGAAATATCACATGGTCTTAAGTATTCAGACCCTTTGCTGTGACACTCATATATTTAACTCAGGTGCTGTCCATTTGTTCTGATCATCCTTGAGATGGTTCTACACCTTCATTTGAGTCCAGCTGTGTTTGATTATACTGATTGGACTTGATTAGGAAAGCCACACACCTGTCTATATAAGACCTTACAGCTCACAGTGCATGTCAGAGCAAATGAGAATCATGAGGTCAAAGGAATTGCCTGAAGAGCTCAGAGACAGAATTGTGGCAAGGCACAGATCTGGCCAAGGTTACAGAAAAATTTCTGCTGCACTTAAGGTTCCTAAGAGCACGGTGGCCTCCATAATCCTTAAATGGAAGACGTTTGGGACGGCCAGAACCCTTCCTAGAGCTGGCCGTCTGGCCAAACTGAGCTATCGGGGGAGAAGAGCCTTGGTGAGAGAGGTAAAGAAGAACCCAAAGATCACTGTGGCTGAGCTCCAGAGATGCAGTCGGGAGATGGGAGAAAGTTGTAGAAAGTCAACCATCACTGCAGCCCTCCACCAGTCGGGGCTTTATGGCAGAGTGGCCCGACGGAAGCCTCTCCTCAGTTCAAGACACATGAAAGCCCGCATGGAGTTTGCTAAAAAAACACCTGAAGGACTCCAAGATGGTGAGAAATAAGATTCTCTGGTCTGATGAGACCAAGATAGAACTTTTTGGCCTTAATTCTAAGCGGTATGTGTGGAGAAAACCAGGCACCTGTCCAATACAGTCCCAACAGTGAAGCATGGTGGTGGCAGCATCATGCTGTGGGGGTGTTTTTCAGCTGCAGGGACAGGACGACTGGTTGCAATCGAGGGAAAGATGAATGCGGCCAAGTACAGGGATATCCTGGGCGAAAACCTTCTCCAGAGTGCTCAGGACCTCAGACTGGAACTAAGGTTTACCTTCCAACAAGACAATGACCCTAAGCACACAGCTAAAATAACGAAGGAGTGGCTTCACAACAACTCTGTGACTGTTCTTGAATGGCCCGGCCAGAGCCCTGACTTAAACCCAATTGAGCATCTCTGGAGAGACCTAAAAATGGCTGTCCACCAACGTTTACCGTCCAACCTGACAGAACTGGAGAGGATCTGCAAGGAGGAATGGCAGAGGATCCCCAAATCCATGTGTGAAAAACTTGTTGCATCTTTCCTAAAAAGACTCATGGCTGTATTAGATCAAATGGGTGCTTCTACTAAATACTGAGCATTTTTCAGTTTTTCTTTTTTAATAAATCTGCAAAGATGTCAACAATTCTGTGTTTTTCTGTCAATATGGGGTGCTGTGTGTACATTAATGAGGAAAAAAAATTAACTTAAATGATTTTAGCAAATGGCTGCAATATAACAAAGAGTGAAAAATTTAAGGGGGTCTGAATACTTTCCGTACCCACTGTATATATATATATTTAAAACACACACACACATGCATATATGGGATATCAGTCTGGCGAGTAAACTAAAAAATGTACTAGCCAATGGCGATTCAATTGCCAAGGTGTCCGTAGAGGGTTGCTAAACAAGAGACAGAAGAGAATAAAAAGACAGCAAAGCAATGATATAGGGAGTTTACATCAAAAACACCACTGAGAAAATTCAACTTTAAAAATCAAAGACAGTTGTAAGCCTGAAAGAAAATGTATGTTTTTAACGCTGGAATCAGAAGGAAGGCAATGCAAAGACTGTTTTTGCACAACCGGGCACTGCACAGCATCTTGTTTTATTCGGAGCATCTTTATCATTTGGTTTCTGTGTAGACCTGTGTTTCCCTCTCGTTACACTACATGTGCAAATCGGTGGGCGGGGCTAAAGAGGCAGTGATGTAGAAGCAGGCGTTGATCTTCTTCGTAGGCAGTGCTTATCCACACTATTACATCAAACAGCGGTACATTCCACTGTTGTTTTGGCAAACTGGCTTCAATATAAGCTGTTTTTAGACTAACAACAAAGTTTTGAATTCTGAAACTTACAGGATGTTTATATAGTACAATCTTTTCTGTCAAAAGATCAAGGGAATTTTGATTTCTCAGTACATGACCCCTTTAATTATAGTTATATTACAGCAGCTGTAAAGCAGCACTGGGAGTTTCATTTTATGTTTGTTGAATAAAACCACAATGGAAAGGTTGTCATCCTAATGTTAACATTTTTTAGTGACTGGAGTATCCACATTACTGCTAAACAAATATAGGAAATATAAAAAATAACACATTGTTTATTTGACTAATTGATATTTTAGACACTGAATTATACAAAGGGTTTTTAAATGTATAAGTGTTAATTTTTTTAAGCAATTGTTGTTAGCATTTATATAATTTGACAATTTAATAATTCTTTTCTGAGTTATTTTTAAAAACTTCTCAGACACTTCAAAGCTGATTGAAGAGATTTGAAGTACAAGTCTGTAGCAGAGCAGCCATTTTAAACGATGGAGAAAGACCCTTTTTATAGGTTATTTATTTATAAATGAAACCCAGATGATATATTTTGCAAAAGGTAAAGTCATTTGCATTCTTAACATAGTGAAATTCAATTATTGATCTGTGAATCACTGCCATGCATAGAAGTGTTAATGCATACACGAGTCTGGACCTTCACACCACATGTGACATAACTATCCATAAACTATGACTCAAGTTGTTTTACTATTGAATTACTATATCAAATGTTATCATATGTTTGCATTTCCTGTGCATTTTATACCATTTCAGAAATATTGACTTGTTCTTGTGAGTGAGAGTAGTATGATTGCATTAACTATGACAAAGTGATGCAATTAATCACATTATTTTAATCAGTTGACAACCCTAATATAGACATAAATGTTAAGTTAAACAGCTGTTTTGGGGGAGATCCTGGTGGGCCCATAAAAGGAAAAAAATAGCAAGAAATATTCTGTCCTGTCAGTTTGATTGTCTTGAAGCCTGGGCAGATTTTAGTGACGCACACATTCTTTGGCACTGAGCTTGTCTGTGTCATGTGAGTGGGATGAATCTGGAGAGTGATCATATGTGTATTTGTGTATGCGTGTATTCATAAACAACATGGCCACTGCATGAGTTGTTCGCACCTGTCACAGGGATATGACTAAATGTGGGATCACCCCGTGTGTGAGATCACTTCCTGTCACGGCATGCTTTTTAAAGGACACTTTGTGCAAGCATCTGCTACGACTACTCGAGCACAAAGATCCATCGCTGCTGCCAGAGTCTGCCGTCGGCTGGCTGTGCATGGCTTTGCTTTTGCTTTTTGACAATGATTGTGTCTTGATTTAATTTTTCTGTGCTTGACCTGACATATTACCCCACTAAACTCCTCACCTTACCTACTATTTCCTCCTCATGTCCTCCATCCTGTATCTCCTTTTCAACACTTTCTGTCTCCTAGACACTAGTGCATCTTTTCTCCTATTCTTCTTCTACTCCCTTCCATTCTTTTTTCTAACATGAATCGATGTTCTTTCCGTCACCATTTTGATCTCCGGTCACATACTAATTCCTACCGTACCTCTGCTCCTCTCCCTCCTCTCATCCCGCTTCAGCCTCTGGCTTTCTCCATAGTGCATATCAGAGCTCTGATTGGCTGTTTCTGTTGTTGTTTGTCGTTGGGTCATCTTCGCAGGCCGGGAAAGGGCAGGCAGCCGCCCCACAGTCTGTGATGTCATCACCACGCGCCACCCCGACTCTCCATCAACCCCCATCTCTGACTGTGTGTAAGTGAGACCAGATTCAACAGAGAGAGATAGACAGAGAAGGTCTGAAAGAAGGAAATAAAATAATGCTGGTACATGGGGGGGTATATTAAAAATATTGGGGGTATAATAAAAATATTAAAGGTACAGCACCAAAAACAGCTCGAGTCAGATAAAGAAAGGAAATGGTCATGTGAAACTAATTTATCGAACCTTAAGCAGTTGCAGCCCATTTCACTTTCATAAAATGACACTACTGTTCAAAATGTTGGGGTCAGCAAGTCTTATACTTACCAAGGCTGCTTTTATTTGATCAAAAATACAGTAAAACTAATATTGTGAAATATTACAATTTAAAACAACTGTTTTCTATTTTAATATATTTTCAAATGTAATGTAATCCTCTGATGGCAAAGCTAAATTTTCAGCATCATTACTATAATATTCTTCAGTGTCACATGATCCTTGACGCGTAACATGAAATCGTTCTACAGTTGTCAACATTTGAAGTGGATCAAAAAAGTTAATCAAAGTTGTCCTAAGACAAGAACGCATTTTGGTTTTAGGACAACTTTGATGAAAGGTTTTGATCCACTTCAAATGTTTACTAGTGTAATATGCTGATTTGCTGCTCAAGAAACATTTTATTATTATCATCATGTTGAAAACATCTGTGCTGCTTCATATTTTCGGGAAACTTTTAATTTGTTTGATGAATAGAAAGTTCATAAGAACAGCATATATTTAAAATCTTTTGATGCAATTTTATACCTTTTATTTAATGTCTAGTTGAAATTATTAATTTCTTTAAAACAACAACAAAACGTACAGACCCTAAACTTTTAAATAGTAGTGCATTTCTTAGTGAAGGAATATATTTAATGAGGAAAGTGTGGGGTGGGACTGGACTGAATCATCAAAGTGGGTGTCATCACGCAAATCAGCCATTTCCAGTGTACAGAGATACTACATTTCCCCAAATTAGGCAAATATAAAAACATTCCGTTTTTTTTACATTTGCATAATAAGATGAGGAAACTATTAAGAATGTAAAAAGGGTCCATTTTTATAGTAGATGAAAGAGTAAAATGCGGGAAACATTTTTTTCAGGAATGTGAGGAAGAGGAAGCTTGTCAGAATAAGACAGAAAAAGAGTAGCGACAGGTCATCCGTTCACTTCAGTGCACATCTGTCTGCTTAACTTCCTCATTCACAGCTGGGTTTCAGTTGCACACATCCATTCTGAAATGTGTGTCGCAGGGAAACACATTCATTTAACATGTGCTCACTATAGCTTGCGTTAATCGTAATTTTTATGAAATGTCACATTTGTAGACAGCGAGCTCTGTCTAAATATAAACGTGATTCTAGATGTTTCAATGAGTCCCAATGCAATCAATCGATGACTCTTTACGGCTGTTTAGAGGAGGCAGGGACCAGAGTGTGTTCAATGTGTTGACCGATTTCATTACTAGCATGTGTCATAGCTGAGGTTTTCTCCTCAAACTTTGCATCTTATCGTCATTACTCTTGTACACATTTAATTCTCACCCCTCTCTCCTCCTCTACTGGTTCTCCTCTCTGTTGCTGTTCTCAGACTTGACCAGCAGACCCCGTAGTCCTCCTCAGCCACCTCCTCCCCCTCTGCCTCCGGGACGCCCTCCGCCCCCAACCCCGCCGCAGGAACGAGGGAGCGAGATGGAGGCCGCCGGAGGAGGCGGAGCAAGCAGCGGGGCGGAGGAGTGCGAGGAACGGGAGCGTGAGCCGCCTCTCCTCCAGCTGGAAGGGGTGGAGGGCGAGGAGAGAGAAGGAGGGAGAGCAAGAGCCATCGACAACCAGTACTCTTTCTTCTAAAACGGGGAAAACAACGAGGTGGGATAGAGGAGGAAGAGGAGAGCCCTTCACAATCAGTATTTTCAGTATTCTCCAGCGGAAGAACTGGGAGACCGAGTTATTAACACTATTAAACATGAGCTTTCACGGTGCGAGAGAGAGATGGAGAGAAAGAGAGAGAGACGCCCAAACACATAAGCATATATGATACTGACGGTACTTTTTTTTTTAAATACTAAGTAACGGTACAACACTAAATTGTAGGTGCGTTGTGAAAACATTGGTCAGCTTTTACTAATTTGTTCTCCAGTGTTTGTCAGTGCGAAAGTTCCTCTGCTGCTGCATAGGAAAGTACAAAAGTGTCAGCGCCGCCACTGAGCTGGTGTCGTGTTTTAGCAACTTATTTCTTGAGTCCTTCAAGTCATTACAGTGTCGGACTCACTTATTGATTATTCAGATGTCTAGTATTCTTTGAGCCTTCGCACTTATACGAAAGGAATTTCTTTTTCCTGTCAGGTGAGCGGAAATTTTCACTTGTTCAGAGATTGTTACCCACCAGCACTCTTGTTGTTATTATTATTACTGGAGCTTTTTGAGTTGTTTTCTTTTTGTTCTGCCACTGACAAACTGCGAATGTCACAAAGTAATAACTTTTTATCCTGTTCATTTCAGTTGTACTGATTTTGCTAGTTAAGTAGCAGGCATTGCCTCGGGCTTAACAACGTCCAGTTTGGCCAAAAACAAGCAAGCCCAGTCCTCTGAAGTCCAGTAGTATTACTTCATAAGGTTAATTATCGTATTAAACATCTCCATAGACTCCATTATTACCTCAGAGTCCTGATCTGTCGCCCAGCTCCTCTGCTCTCCCTCTCTGTCTTTACATCCTACCCTTCCTTTTAGCTTTACAGACTTTGGGTTTATTGTTGTGTTTATTTCAAAGCTAGAGTCCAGAGGAGGGAGAGAGAATGTCCTTTGGTTTAAAAGAGAAATTGTTATTGAATACGAAAATGATAATGACTGATGATGATAATAATAATAATTAGAATATAATAATTGTCCAAATAATAGTATTATTTGTTTGTTTGTTTCAAAATGCCTTTATTTTTGTTGTTTACTGTATGAACACATAATATTTGTTGTCCAAAATCTGTTTTCTGTTTCTAATTTTTTGTGCTTTTTTATATCTCTTCTAATCTCACTCTGTCTCCTTCAAACTTTGCTTTGGTTTCCACAGATTTCAGGAAAACTTTTGAAAAGGAAAAATGATAAAGAGACCCTTTCTTCTTGTGCCTTTTCGTGTTGTTAACCGTCATTCCCTCTCGTTTTGTGCCAGTCATTCTTGATTTTGTGCCTCGATCAGTCTTTTTGCAGTGTCTGCCATCAAGTTCAGTGCATGCATTGGTATTTTCCTGTACTGTTTCTCCAGTTCTGTCTCAGCCTTTTCAGTTGTTCTCTTCTTGATCCTACAGATCATTTGGTATTTGTTTTCTCTCAATTTGCCCCTTGCTCCTCCCTTTTACCCTTTATTTAAACCTTTTATTGTGCCTTCTCTCTCTTTTCTCTTCTCTCTCTGTCTGTCTGTGCTGGGACCGTGTGTTAAGGTGGACAATGTTGCCCACTCTGTGTAATTAGAGTTTCAGGTACTACATTGAATTAAATGATGATGATATGATATAATATAATTATACTGAAACAATTTGTCTGAGTTGTGTTTGTGTGATAGATAGATAGTGAAATGAGAAATTTGATTTTATTGCACATTTCTTATAAGAATGGACGACTCTTTTGCAAGGCACGCGTAACGTGCAGCTGTCGACGTGTGATACTGGTCTTGTACGCCATTGCGTCATCAATACGTTCTACGCCGTCGTCCAATGGCAATCGAGGGTTTTTGAAAAAACTGCCTTCGCGTTTGTCGCTGGCTAATTCGCGAGACGTGGTGCCGGTAATATTTAATAGAAACAGAAGGCTCGTTATCTTCGTGTTCTGTTCGTGACAGAATATCGTACTGAACTGGACCTCGGGTTATAACGGAGATCGCGCTCGTGCGGATCGGAGAACGCTGCGGAAAAAACAGAAAAATAACACCGCAGGCAGGCTAGTCCACCTCCTAGCTTGTCATAGGCAACAAGGGGAATTTAGCGGGCAACTCCGTTAGCGGCTAGTTATGTCTTTTCGCCGACAGAACGTGAGTACCGCATCTAAAAATTTAACTAAATTTTTTACAAATCATACAATCGAGAATATTAAAACTCATAATGGATAGTATGGTCCGAATATTGTCGTTCTCCATTAAGCTTCCACTTTCTTGTTCAACGTAACGTGCTAGTAAACCTGCTAGCCAACACCACTCGGCTAGACTCTTGAATAGAACGTTACGTAAATTTGTCCAATGCTTAATTTGTGTCAGCATTTAAGAATCGTTGTGCTTTCTGACAGCAACCTGGACCCGGCGGCCGCAAAACATCCAATGGAACTACAGGGTCAATGGCTTCATCAGTTCCGGGGAGCAACTCTAACAGACCCACCGCGGGAAGGTAAGGCACAAGTTGGGCTGCCCCGCTCAGAAAGTCCGAGGACTGGCATTTTAACACGAGGCCTACCGGTCAAAGTGGGCGTGCCCTCGGCGCATACTTGATCTTCTCCCTAGAACACCAATTGTTTCGAGCCTTGTTAAATTAGCAGGAGCACTAGCCAATCGCTGCGAAGAATGTTTGAGTGACACGATTTTGGGCCAATAATGGAGGACGTTGTCGCAATCGGTACACATCCGCCCAGAAATAATATTGTCAACCAATAGAATTTAGATTTTAATTGATTGCCATCTCTTCCAGCTTATGACTGCTCTCGGAGGCGGGTCATCAGCAGTGTTTTGTTGTTGTTTTTCCGATCCCATATGATTCTGTATTGTGCTCGACTTTCAACTTGAGCTATTGTAGACAGACGCCTTCAAAGAAGAGCCGGGATGCATGTGACAAAAAAGTACAAACATTCGTATTTCCTAATCGATTTGATTGATTGTAGCGAGGGGCGCGAAATGTGTACGTTTGCGCACGTTAATGTCAAGCTGTTTGTCTTCGATACGGCATTTGCCTGTGTTGTTGGCCAGCTCCGATAACCCGCTTTGCGGTCTGTCGCAATTAAAACACGCGCTTGGTTGCCTTTGTTTACATATATTGACATTGCAAAATAATATTTTGTCATGATGCGCAATCAGATTCAGTCCGATCGTTATTTTGTTACTCGTGTATGATTGTCCTTTTGTTTTACCACGGGCTTCGCGATGTTGTGATTGTTGTCCACACATGTAACAGTAGAGCAATGCCTGTAACACCGGGGCTGTGTTTCACATTCTAGTTAGATGCACGCAGACACAGCAAATTTGTCCACGTATTTGATATAACTTATGAATACAAGAAATTCTTAATATACAGAAATCTGTTATTGGTATGATTGTTCGTCTTTTGCGTTCCTCTTGATTTGCATGATGCAATACACACACACACACGTTATGTAAATTATCTTTTGCCAATGATTGTTTCCTTTTCCTTTTTTCCATGAAGAAACAGAAACTCTGTGAAGACTCCCTCACAGTCACCACCTGTATGTAAAAGCTTGTACTTTTTAGACTCTTGATTTTCCATTTTAGGATTATTAGATGTCTTAGTATCCTCTTAAGTATTTTACTGCATTTTTGGACCACCAAATGCTCAAAGATATTTGTATGTACTTTTTTTTTTTTTAGGTGTTTGAGGGTGTGTACAACAACTCACGGATGCTCCATTTTCTCACAGCCGTGGTGGTGAGTTTTGGCATGAAATAATTAGTTCACATTTCTGTTTATTTGATGGCTGTTGAAAACGCCCTTCTTTGATCACTTCAGTTTAGTGATTCACAGACTTTTTGACTCCTGGGCCTACAACATTATTCGAAGGGCCCATGACTTGCTTGTGATTTACTGGATAAGAACCCCCCCCCCCCCCAAAAAAAAAACTACATTTCTTCCTGATAGTGTTTTAAAGCTTGGCATAATAATAATAATAATAATAATAAAATACTTTTAATAAAAAAATTTTTATTTTTTTTTATAAAGAGCCCATGACAAGTTTTGCTAGCATTTTATTAATTTAGATGACTTTTACAGGTCTAGAAATCATGCTTTTAAAATTAGGCTACCTCATATCTCCTAGCTTATCTAGACTGTGGTAACTGTTTCGACAAAGGAAAAAAGGGGGGAGGGTGAATTAAAATAAGAAATATTTAGATTTTTAGTTGTTTTGGTTTTATGTGATTCACACCATCTTCTCTAATTTGTTTTCAGCATTAAGCAATAAAATACTTGACACATATGCAATCTTTTCCACAGGGCTCCAGATGCGACGTTATGGTGAAGAACGGCAGTATATATGAGGGAATCTTCAAGACGTTAAGCTCACGTGTAAGTCAGTCATTCCAAATCTACTGACAAAACACATCTGCATTTAATTTGCTTTCTGAATCTTATGTTTAATCTTGCTGATCTTAACTATGAATCATGGGCTTTGTTCACACAGGACCCAGTTCAGATTTATCCAATCCAAATTTTATCTTTGATATTGACTAATTTATATTTATTTATTTTATATATTTTATTTATTTATTTTTTGTGGCCTATCTGAGCAAAGCCTCGTGAAGTTTAACGTATGATCAAGTCTCACTCAGTATCTATGTTTTTAGTGTGAGCTGGCAGTGGACGCAGTGCACAAAGTGAAAAATGAAGAAGGAGATGGAGGCGGTGGTGGAGGCACACCAGTCCATCCCAGGAGAGAAGAGATCACGGACACCATGATCTTTGGCCCTAATGACCTGGTCACTATGATCTGCAGAGATGTGGACCTCAACTACGCTACCAGAGGTGTGTATATGACTCTGTAGAAGTAGTATACATGTGTAGTGTTGTTAATTATGGAAATGTAAGGCAGTGTTAATTTCGTCAACGAAGACAACGACGAAAAATATTCGTTAACGAAATTTTTTTTTCTGTGACTAAGACGAGACGTTGACGAGCTAAAACCAATATCTGATGATAAAAACTGACGAAATTTATGCCGCGTCTTCGTTAACAAGACGAGACGGGACTATAATGTTATTTGAGGACTACCGGACATTCAAAATACATCCTATAGGCTACTATCTTGTCCTTCAAAATGTGCGTCCCTGTCATTGGATTGCAATCGG